ACATACACTTGACACACACACTCTCTCTCTCCACACACTATCCACGAACCCACCCTCGCTCGCCCCCGCCCCACCAGGCGCGCTTCCTGCTGGCCAAGCTCAACCCCAGCGCCACCTACAACAGCGCCGCCGCCGTCAGCGGCGAGGTCATCATGACCGATGACGTCAGCCTGCAGGTCTTCACCGACCACCTCAAGCGCCTCGCGGTGCAGTCGTGAGGGGATGCAGCCGCGCGGCAGCCGCCCCCGCGACAGAAATCGGGTTGTGAGCCTGTGTGTGGAGGTTGTGTGCGGAAGACTATGGGCGCGGCGAATCCCCAAAATCCGGGCGGAGTGCAACCGGGACCGCCTTGCCGCAACGCGGGGCCACCCGCGGCTTTGGTGGCGCGGGATTGCTGTCGCTTGGCCGTTTCGGGCTGGGCGGGGCTCTTGATTCAAGCCGGGCGCATTACGCCCGGGCCAGTGAGCGCGGTCCTGAGGCTTGACGCCGCGGATCCGAACGCGCAGCCCCCAGGGGCAGCGCAGTGCCTGCTCTAGCATGTAACCTTTTTGTGATCGGGCCGTTGCCGTGCTGCTGCGAGGGTGTCGGGGCGGGGAGCACCGCACGCCGCCTGCGCGCTGACGGGGATTGCAATGCTGGTTGGGCGCGGCGCAGCGAGTGGCGACGCCGTCGCTGTGGGAGGTTATCAGCAACTGATGGTGATAGGGGTTGTGTTTAGGAGCTCTGAGCGCCTTGCATCGCCACATTTATCGGTGTCTGTGGGTGGGTCTGGTGCAAGCGGGTACAGCGCTGCCGCGCGCCCAGCAATCCCGCGTCGCCGTTTGTTCCGCGAGCGAAGGAGTGTGAGCCGCCGCGGTGTCATGTCCTTCGGGATTCTCCAGCGCGACCCAAAGGGTGGAAAAGCATGGACAGCATGCGGGAGGCGGCCAACCCCGGCTCGTGTCGACGGGCGCGCACACCCTGGGACGCGGCCAGTGATGGCAGCACACCTGTTTGTGTACTTGCAGCTGCTATGCTGCACTCTCGATTGTGCATGGCAGCATATAGGTTCTGTGCCACAGTTGTGAGCGATTTGCTGGATGCGGTCGGTTGCCGGCAGGTTGGCTGGACTTGACAGTAGCACTCCAGCACAGTATCACTTTCCAGCCAAGCGGGGTGGTCATTGCCCAAGTTGCCTTTCACGCACCAGCGTATGAACATCTGAGAGTACTTGACTTTGCTTTTGCCGTGGATCCGCGGCTTCGTCATCTTGCGCGCTCTACGATCAAGATCACGAGATCGCACGCCTCACGCCGTTTATAGTTTGTAAACTAGCATGCAATCACTGTGTGATGTCCTCGCTTCAAGGGGCGGCATTGTTGACAGCTTCCACTGCTGCTTTTGCATATGCCACCCTCTGGCTTCTGTTCACGGTGAGATAGGGCGCATAAGCTTTATATTATAGTTGACAACCAATTGACCTGACACCAAAACTCCCCCGTCTCTCCCAGCCATTCATTGAGGAGGGCCATCCTCTCGGCAAGCTCTTTCCTCCGCCCCACGCGCTCTTCCTGCCCGCGTGCTTGGCCATCGCTGTCGTGGTAGCCAGTATTTGCGTGCACGTTGGCGCCCTGCTCATCCGTGAGGCCGCGGGCGGCCGCTGAGCGGCAAAGCGGGGGACTTGCCGCGGCCGCACGTGCAGTCCCACGGGCGCAGGCGGGCGCCGCGGCGCTCGTGGCAATGTGCTGCTGCAGCGAGGAGGACTGGCAGGCCCAGGTGGAGGAGCTGGTGGCGTTGCAATCCATTTACGGAGAGGCGGCTTTCAGGCGCGCTCCCCATTGCAGCTGCGCGAGCCTGCGGCTGGCATAGAACGGCGTCATGCTGGCTTCCCTCCATGCATACATCATGCATGCGTGCATGCAATTGGAGCGTGCGGGTCACCGGTGGTGGCACAGCAGCTCCCGCGGCAGGCAACGGCCGTGGTGACAATGGTGAGTTGCTCTGCATTGATGGGGCAACCTCCACCCATGCGCTGCCGTCCGCCCGTGCGTCGGCCCCCACCCCCCCCCCCCCCCAGGCTCCTCAGCGCCCCGGGCCTTGCAGCCGGCACCGCCGGCGCCCCTGGCGGCAGCAGCGGCGGCAGGGGCAGCAGCAGCAGCACTGGCGAAACCGGCGGCGGTGGCAGCGGCGGGGAGCCGTCTCCTGAGCCGCCCTCCGATGAGGAGCTGCTGCAGGGTTTGCTCGGGGCGCCGACGCCGCAGGGGGGCGGCTGGGGGGAAGCTCTGGAGGCGGAGGTGCTGGCTGATCTGGAGCTGCCGCCTGGCGGTTTGCAGATAACCCTGGGGAGGGACGGCGGGCATGAGAGCGGCTGTGCAGGCGCTGCAGGCTGCGGCGTCGGCTGCAGCGTCGGCTGCGGACGGGAGAGTCGGCAGAGCGGGGGCACAGACGGCGGCGGCGGCGATAGCGGCGGCGGCGTGCCGGTGGGGGAGCCCGTGCGGTGGCTGCCGCCGCTGCGCGTGTC